GCTCGGTGGCAGGAGGATGTCCTCGCAACCAGCCGCTAGCCGGCCGCGCGCATCCCTCGGCGCTGCGCCGCAACCGTAGGTGGTAGGACTGGGATCCACTGTCTGCAGTCGGAAAAAGGCGCGTTAAAAAACAAATATGCTCCGGCTGTTATCGCGCCAACGAGCTGATCAGCTCACCTCCGCCCGTCAGCCATCAACGCCTGGGTTGCGCAATGGTCAGGCCTGTTGGCGGTAGCCGCGCAACGAGCTGAAACAACTCCCCCCCGCTGCTCAGCTTGGTGCCGGCCGCGCGCATCCTACGGCGCCGCGACGCAACCGGTGGTATAGGACCGGGATCCACTGTCGGCAGTCGGGCAAAAGGCGCGCAAAAAACAACTCAAACGCTTCGCCCGTCACAGCTAATGGCATCCCCCGGCCCTGCTGGTGCGGCCCGCGAAACTCGGGTCAAGCACGGACATTTCTGCATTCTTACATGACAAGAATGTGTCTTTAGATCGCCGCGCACGCCCTCTCCAACGCTGCCCCGCGGGTGCCGCGAACGATACCGATGGGGACCGATAGGAACGGGCAGCCGTACTGGCCAAGGTCAGAGACAAAGCTCGCTTACTGCAGCCACGCCACGTCCTTGGGTAGTTCAGCGCGGTTTCGGGTGTGACAGATGGTGCCAGTTCGAAGACTGGGGGAGATAGTTACTGCGCGGAGCGGCACACTTCCGTCGAGCAAAGTCCCCTTCTTGAAAGCCTCGCGGTCAGAAGGGGTGTCGAGGACGCGGAAGCCTTGTTGCCCGAGTGGCAAGGATTGGCCACCAGCCCACACGGGCGCCTCCCTCGGCGCCGTCGGGAGCACTTCAACAAGGCTAGGCGGTTGCTCGCCTGTGGAATTCCAACTATTCATCTTTCCAGCAAATGTGGCACACGCGTGTGCGGGTGGCATTCAAGTTGCTTTGCGAATGTGAACGTAGCCCTGACTGGCGGCCGCTTGCATCGAGGTCTTGGCAACCCACTCACGCGGGCGGGCGGCCCACAGCCAAATGCCGATCGTGTCGCAGGCACCGCGCTTGAGCAGGCGGCGGTACCCTGCAAACGCTTGTGCACCTACCCGGAGCCACGTTTAGGCGACCTGTTGCGGATGCTTGTTGCGCCGACGCAGTGCCCACAAGCCATCTCCGTGCCCGGGGAGATTCGCCTTTTAGTGCACGAGCGGCATGCTGGCCTGCGGTTTAGCGCCAACGCTGACTGCGAATGACCGTATCTGTGTAATAAGGGGTATTATGTTTCGTCACATGGTTTTGATGCTACGTGCGATGAAGCCATCATCCTTGTCGCAAACAAGCGCAGGCATGTTGCCTACTTCCCGAGCTGCTTCGACCGGGGCTGCAGCGTGTGTGTGTGTGTGTCTGTGTGTGTGTGTGTGTGTGTGCTTCCTTGCCTGCGAAGCTGGAGGCTGTTGGAGCGCTGCGTCGCTACATCTCGTTGATTAGCTCGTGCGACTCCGAGCCCACCGCGCTCCTGCCGCCCGGCGCCCTGCGGCTCGGCAGGGTTGGCTGCGCCGCTGGTGGGGCTTCTTGAGCGTGGCTCTGCAAAGCACACTTGGTGCCACACTGCTCGGAGCGCCGTACGTCGCTGGCGCCCTACCTGGTGCACAGCACCCGCCGCTTGAGGATGTGCTGCACGACGCAGCCCGTCCCACCCTCAGCCTTTTCGGCCCGTGGTGCTCAGGTTGCACGGGACCTGGACTTTTCGGTTTTGCGGACATCAAAACGGTGCGTGGGGAAAAAAATAAGAATGGTGATTTTGCCACGTCACTTGTACCCAAAAGCCGGAGTTACTGTTGTTGAGCAGCCGACCCTCAAAGCCAGCGTCAGGACGGCGAGGCCATTTTCACGTTCCTCCATGATACATGTCTCCATCGTCGTGGCGCCGCATTGGGGCATCACGCGCGAAGCCGCGTCCACGAAGGCAGACGCGCATCTGGCAAAAAGCCTCGTGGCATTGCCAAGAGCAGGGAAAGAGAGGAGGTCCTCGGCGCCTTTGGTGGCACGACGCCTTCCGGCAGTTGCAGCGACAGCGTGAGGACCCGGACCGGCTGTTGCCCCAACCTCCATGATGTGCACGCGGCGAGGCTTCCATCAGTCTTGCGCGGCCCCTTGTGCCAACTACCCGACCTCGTGCACCGCCGAGTACGCGGCAGCACATGACGCAACACTTGTGACATGCTGCATTCCGGGAATACGACGAAGACATGTACACCTCTTCCGCATCCTCTGGCCGCCTCGCCGTGCAACGGGCTTCCCTGCAGCAGCTCGGCAAGGCGTTGAGCCCCCCTGCGAGCTTACACCTGCTTCTCGTGCGCTTCTGCTGTCGCAAGCTGGGCCTTTCACCGTCTGCGCCTTCAACATTCTGCCCACACGTGAAGAAGTACTCCTACCCTTAGTTTCGCACATGAGGCATGCGCCAGCAAGGAGGTCCTCGCCACACACGCATGCCGTTAGAGCATGCCCTCACGCAGGTGTGTCGCAGAGGCGGCATCAGGGAATGTTGCCACGTCCGACGTGCGGGACGCGAGCCTAGATGTGCCAGTTGCCGAAGGGCGCTGCGTGGCATTGATCCCCGTTCGCTATGGAAGCCACCATCCTGTGCCCGCTCGCTCTGGAGTCGATGGCGACAACCGGTCACCGAGCTGGGAAAGGGACAATTACCGTGCGCCGGATGTAGGAGATGTAGGTGACGGATGTGGGACAGTGGGACAAGCCATGTAGGCCCGAAAAGGTGCGAGAAAAACAGAGGTTGGCCATCCAATGGGAGAAGATTTCAATACAAGCGAAGGCACGGCACGATTTTCCCCATACATTGACCGGAACAAGCAAGCCTTCCATATTTTTGGCTGCAGACTGAGCCGGCATCCTCAATTCGACAGGAAGGTTGCATGCACGCCGACCGTTTTCCAGCGACGTTGTTGTGGTGCGCAGCCCCAGCGGGAAAAGGGCCCGACATAATCAAGGAAAGAAGCGACGTCAGACTTGTGGAATACTGCGGACGAAGCATGACCCAGTGCAGATCCGGAACAGCGAGTGTGTTGCCCAGCTTTTTTTGCGGACGTTTCAAGCGGTAAGCTCATGAAAACTTTTGCGGCGCTCAAGATTGGCTATGGAGACGGCGCGCAAGCTCATCGTTTTGAAGCTTGCGAGTAGTAGTAGCGCCCTTGAGCAGTTTGGGGAACACGTTAGGCAGATCTAGCTCGTCGTATCTAGCTCGTCGTAATCAGCCATCAAGGTCAACAGGAGTTGCCCATTTGTCGGCGTGCACTGCGCAGCACATTGCGCAACAGTCCACTTAAATGCCATTCCGCTTCCCCCTACATTAGAAGCAGCATGAAGCAGCTGCTGTTTGCAAGCAGCCAGCGTTGTAACGAGATTGGCTTGACGACCTCCGCATTGCTTCAGCGAGTATTATGATCAGTCCGCATGCAGCAGGTCTTTTCCCAGGAAAGAAAGGGGTCGTTATATAACATTTCGACAGGCTCCCGCGGGCTGCTGCCAGTGTGTCAGTTCAAGGTGCGATTCTTACGGTCACATCGTTGATATCCATAGGCTTTGCGTTGGCAACCAGGAGTCGGAAAGAGCACCGTCTGCTTGATACCGACGATGAGATGCACACGTTGAACAGAACGGATTTTTGCACGGCAGGCAATCTTTTTGAGGCATGGTTCGAGCTGGATATCCTTGTGTTTTGAAAAAAAAGCGAAACCCAAAACCTGGCAGCAGGAAGGTGTGGGTGTTGATTATGGTGCATGCCCGGTTTCGGTGCTCAAGGAAGCAAGGACTTCTTGGATGGCGGCTCAGGAAAATATTCAGCATAAACCATGCTTATCACGCATGAGTCAGTAGGCAAGCTTGGAGGCATAATTCCTTTGGGTGTAACCGTAATCCGCCGATTTGCTCGACCATGTCGGCGGGCAATTCCATTTTGAGCTTCTCCCTCGGAGCTGCTGCGGGAGTTGCTGCTTGTGGGACTTTGTACTGGGCGCTGAATAAACAGTCGCAGCCCAAACCATCAGCAGAAACTTCCCGGAATGAAGTGAATGGCAGCTTTCCAGCACCGGTGGTGGAGCCACCAAAGGAGGCCGAGCCACCTGCCGATCCACCTGCCCCTCCGCCCGCAGCTCCCGAAGACAGGCCGGCAGATGCACCGGAAAGTTGTCCAGGCGTCAGCAGTGAACAAGCGGGGAAGAGCGAATCCTGCGCCGGCTGCCCGAACCAAGCGCTGTGCGCTTCTGGTGAAGCAAAGAAGAAGGATCCCGCTGTGGCTGACGTTCAAGATCGTCTCAAATCCGTGAAGCGCAAGATCCTCGTCCTGTCGGGGAAAGGCGGGGTCGGGAAGAGCACGGTTTCAGCACAGCTTTCCTTCGGATTCTCTGGACGTGGCATGGACGTTGGATTGCTCGATGTCGACATTTGTGGCCCATCCGTGCCTCGAATGCTTGGCCTTCTGGGTCAGGATGTCCACCAAAGCAGTGAGGGTTGGTCGCCAGTTTACGTTGACGACCACTTGGCTGTGATGTCTATCGGCTTCATGCTACCGAACCAGGATGACGCTATCATTTGGCGAGGTCCTCGCAAAAATGGTCTCATCAAGCAGTTCCTGACCGATGTCAACTGGGGCGAGCTGGATGCGTTGATCATTGACACTCCTCCCGGCACCTCCGACGAGCACCTCTCCATCGTGACCTACTTGCAGGATGCTAAAGTGGATGGGGCAGTCATCGTCACGACACCTCAGGAGGTCAGTCTGATGGATGTCCGGAAGGAAATCAACTTTTGCCGCAAGGTAGGTTTGCCCGTCTTGGGCGTGATAGAAAACATGAGTGGCTTCGCTTGCCCAAAGTGCGGGCACGAAGAGCGAATTTTCTGCCCTTCGACCGGTGGTGCAATGGCGATGTGTCAGCAGATGGAGGTGCCTTACCTGGGGAGTGTGCCCTTAGATGGCCGCGTGGCTGCTGCGGGAGATCAGGGAATGCCATTATCGCAGTTGCAACCTGATGGGCCTGTGGCCAAGTGCATTGACAGAGTGATCGAAGCAATTTTGAAGGAGACGGACAAGAAGTGATGTGGGATAGCCACGAAGGGCAGCACCAAGTTTTGACCCGCATGTACTTTTAAGTGGTGCAGACACAGTATCCTCGCCATTCTCTTGAGAAAAACGTTTTGCGGCTCGTGATGTGTTCTTGGTTGGATGCGATCACATGTTCGACCATCGCAGCATTTCGACACAAGCGCTTGCATCAGCTCTTGCAACACATAGCAGAACAGCAGTGCTAGCTCGCGACTGTAGCCGGTAAGTGCATGCTGTGCCATGCGACCCTGCAGCGATGCAGGCCGAGGCGTCGTGAGTCATGCCATGTAGGCTTCACAACGAGGCACAGGGCCTTCGAAGGACATCTTCGATGAGGAATGGGATTTCAAGGCTTGCAATAAAGTCGTGATGAAGGCCTAAACCTAAAGCCTGAACCCGAAACTGGGACACCGTGAGACTTCGCCTGGCATGTCTGAGTTGTGAGAGTGTAAACAAGTTTGATGCCCAGATGGCCTCCGGCTCTGGCTATGGCGAGGATGCCTCAAAGCCCAGCTTCCTCAGGTGCAGCACTGGGAGTCAGTCTCACTCCGCCCATGTGCAAAACGAGACCCTACACCCTAAACCATTATATACGTTACATATACATCTACATCTACCTTTACAACTACATATACACATGCACATCCACACGCATATAATGCAAATGCACATACAGTATACACATATGTGCATATACGTATACTCATATACATAAACATACATACATATGAGCATTGATCTAAAGGTCTTTGTGTGGGATTTATATCAAGCCATTTTGGCTCAAGCCATTTTGGCTCAAGTGGCTCAAGGCTCAAGAGGAATTCTCCATAGAAAACTTCCCCCCCCCCGCCATGGTATGGCCCGTGCTTACAACCATCGGACAGTGGTGCTGGCATGGCTATTCGGTGGCTGGCTCATCATTACAATTTGCAGCTTCCCTGCCGCCCACGTGCCGCGAAAGCCTGGCGCATGCGGCATTGACG